CGCCCCCGCCTGGCAAAGAGGACCCCGCCAACCGGCACCCCCCCCCAGCGCGATTTTTCGCTGACTCGCCCGCCGCGCCCCTCCCGAACCGTCATGCGGCGCACTGCGACTTCTCGTCGCCATCCCGCGTCGCCGTCCCACGGGCACGTCCCCACGACCCCGCGGTACCGCGCGCGGGCCTCCCTGCCCGACTTTCCCTGGGCCCGGCGGCAGCGTCACGCGAGGACCGGTTTTCCCTTTAGGGTATAAGAGAAGATTGAACAGATGGAATATGGTACCTAATATGAACTGGTTGATGAGAATAAAAGTAAGTAGGAGAAAAAGACATTGACAAAAACAAAAGATTACGACACAGCAAAGCTACGTGAGTTCCCATCCCCCCCCCCTTCCTCTCCCTCCTCCTATCCTTATCCTTGTAACCTCACTATCCCCCTAGTCACACTCTCATCACCTCCCTCTTTTACCGTCTTCCTCCTCTGCACCCCGCCCCTCCCTCCACTTCATACATTGTTGTCCCACTCTCCTTCTTCCCTCTCGGAAGCAGTGCAGAGCACCCGGAACGGTGAAGCAACGCTCAGAACTCCCCAAAACAAAGCAGCAGCAGAAACCCCAACATCGAAGCAGCAAACAGGCGAGAGCAGAGAAAAAGACTCGGCACAAGAGAAACGAAGAGGAGAGTGAGATAGGTAGAAGACTAAATGAAAAGAGAAGAGAGAAAGGACGGAACATGGTGAATCAATTACCCCGAATCCTTCCAATCTTATGCGCCATATGATGATGATGATGATGATGATGATGATGATGATGATGATGATGATGATGATGATGATGATGATGATGATGAAGATGATGACGATGATGCTGATGAAGATGATGATGATAAGTAGGGTTGTCACTAACAATGTTGACGATGACAAGGAAAATGCTGATGAAGATGAAGATGATCCCTGTTGATCATCACCAATGATGAAAAGGAGAAGACCACGCTGGTGAGCCGAAGAAGAAAGTCCCCAAGTCGAAGCAGCTTCCTCTTGCAGAGACTGTTGCAAAGCTCGAAGAGTCCGCACTCAATATCTTCTGTCGATCCTCCTCCCACTCCCTGTGATAACGCTCTTCTCTTCTCCCCTCGCGGCAGGCCGACCTCCCTCCGCTATAACCCGCAAGTAAAAGAGCGAGAGTGATTCATCAAGGAGCTTTGTTTTCAAAAGAAAGCAAGCTCCCCTCCATACGACATGCTAGAATCCCCCGAATGGGGCACGAAGCAGCGAGATGGCACAATGTGCTTTCAAAGGACAGGAGATATCAAGTGACGTTATTATTCCACGTTCTCGCCATGTAATGCCCCCAAAGAATTCTTCGCAACTAGCCAACACCCGCCCCAGCTTCAGAAGATGACGACGCCAAGTCAACGCTGATGTGGCGGCATGGCCAGTAAGCAAGTGACTGCCACGTCCGCTCACCAGCCAGCAGCGCCCACGTGCATGCCCAGTAGCGCTCGCCCGACCACCGGCAACGTCTGCAGACTTTGCTAGAAGCCTCCACCCACGCTGCCAACAGCACACGCTTGCCCCACCAGGCCCGCTCACCCGCTCTGCCAGCTGCTGCACACGCCCTCACGCCTCGCCAACGCACCCACCAGCAGCGTCCACGCGTCCCCCCGGAAGCGCACACTCATACCAGCAGCCACGCCCGCATTCGCAGCGCCCCCATCTCCCGTGCCATGGCGCCAATGTTAGCGAAGTTGCATGATACGCTGCCCTCCTATTTTTCCCAGGCCACGTCTATTCCTGTCTCTTATACACATCTAGATGTGTAAATGTTAGCGCTATCGCGCGCCTCCCACCACCCATACCTTAGCCAACGCACCCACCAGCAGCATCCACGCGTCCCCCCGGAAGCGCGCACCCATACCAGCAGCCACACCCGCGTTCGCAGCACCCCCATCTCCTGTGCCATGGTGCCACCCACCAGCAGCATCCACGCGTCCCCCCAGAAGCGCGCACCCATACCAGCAGCCACGCCCGCGTTCGCAGCGCCCCCATCTCCTGTGCCATGGCGCCAATGTTAGCGCTATCGCGCGCCTCCCACCACCCATACCCTTGCAAAGTTAGCTCCGATTTTCTGCAGCAACTCTCTGCTCCGTTGAGGCAGGTTTGTGTTGGCCTGCTGAATAGTATTCGGGTAGCTTGGTGTCAGTTCTTCTGGCTCCCGATTAGTCTCAGTCTATTTTCTGTCGTTTGAATATCATCTGGAATGTTGGTATTCAGTACGTTTCTTGAATCTGGCATTCAATTTGGTGTTTTGTCAAAGTTAGCCCTATACTTCAAAAAAGGTTCGCCAGTTGCCTTCTGAATACTCCAGTAGTTGTACCTAAAAAAGAGAAAAATAAAAAAGATCTGTTTTCTCAGCTGAAGCTGGGTACTGGCTATGGTATCGCAAACTTTTATCTGCCCCTACCCCCCCAAAAAAAAATATCAAATTTAACTAATGGCAGTTGAAAGAGCTCTGCGAAGGTGTACTAAAAAAAAATTAATAATAATAATAATAAAATTTGAGGGATGGGATACATGATGGAGGCTTTCTTGATCTGTGTGATCCTTGCTCTGATGACCAAGTTGAGATTCTGTGCATGGCTCAGCTTTACTTGATGCCCCAAAGAACATGTTCATTTTATCTCTAAACTTGGTGGCAGATCATGTACTCGTGATGGGGAGGACAGGGGTTGGGGTGGGTGATGACAGAGAGTGGGGAGTATGGTGGCGGTTTGTCTGGAAGCCTCTACCTCAAGGAATTGGGATGATGAGAATGTACACGTGTCCTTGGGGTTGGCGGCAGACAGGGTAAGTACGTGGGTTTGTCAGGAAACCCCGACAGGAAGACAGGACCTGAGTTTATGACATGACTCCATCTATTCATTCCGTAAAATGTGGGCCCGGGAGTGATGCTTTCTTTTTCGGGGGTGCCCAGAAGGGAGGGAGAGCGGGGGGGAACTTCTTTTTCGTTTTCTCTTCCTGGCCAGAAAGCTGGGTTGTATATATTGCCCGAACTGCAATTGCAAACTGGATCTTGGCCCATACTGCAATTATAACTTGTGTTTGTGACCCCCACATAGTTTCCCTTTTTCGTTTAACGTCACCTGGGTGTGCTAGCAGTGGTGATAAGAGCAGCCCCCGCTAGGATCCCTGGCATGATGAGGTCATGCCATGGTCGGGCCTCGTCCGAATCCGAGTATTGGGGGATGACAAGGAAGGGAGGTCGGCATATGAGGCATCCACCCCCATTTACCAGCTCCCCGTCGATTCAGCAGAGTGCCTATCTGAAGGCAAAGCTGCAGCTGTGGAAATTTACAGTCAAGGACTGTTATAGGAAAATCCACAGCACGGCAGATACCACCAATATTATAAAACACCGGTGGCAGCGAAATGCAGGAACACACGAATTGGACATGCACACATTTCGCTGGTCCCGCGGCGCCCACATGAGGCCTATAGCCCACCGGGCCCTTCAGTGGCAAATAATATACCGGTGTCTGCCTACAACGGACTGGCTGGTGTCCAGATCACAGCTGGAGCAGAGCGGGGTGCTATCCCCCATTTGCTCCTACTTGGTAGCTCCACACAACAACAGCTAGCGGACCTCGAACACTACCTGCTGTACAGTCCGATGGTGTGACATATCTGGCAGTGGTGGATAGCAGCCTGGCAATACCTTGCCTCAGAGTTCCCATGGGATCATATGGCAATCCTTTTGGGCAACCTCGCCAAAGCCCCTACCTTACAAATCCCCTTCCAACAAAACCTCTTCAAGTACGCGTGGTTGGAAGTGCTAATGGTGGCATGGCAAGCCCGATGCTCTCATAAACGAGACGAGCATGCCTTTGGCTTCCTCCAGACCAAACAACACACTATAGACACCATAAGATCACACATCCAGAGAGCCCACAAGCAACTAATGGAGAACCTGAAAACAACAACGGATCGAACGCAGCGGCCTCAACAGGTGGCCTTGTTCCAGGACATACGAAAGAAGAAAGAAACTCAAGGATGACCAACACTTGCAATGGAAGCCATGGTGGCAGGTGGAACATCTCTGGCAAAGACGGCCCCTGTCTTCCTTCACCCTACCGGTGCAGCCAGGGAAACCCGTCACAACATCCCTTATCATTGACCAGCCAGCCCAACTGGCGACTGAAATGCACAACTACCACCCTTCCTACCTGGGGGACAAGATGGACCAGAGACAGTGGCCCACTCTCACCCCACCTCGTAGGCACCCTCTCCACTCCCGCCCACTCCCCAACCCCCACTCATGCCTTCACCCCTACCCCCCCTCCCCCTCTCACCACCACCACTCACCCCTCCCCCTCCGCCACCACTGCCTGTCAGCGACCCGCACTACCCCAAACACCTGCACTGCTCACCCCTCCCCCCCCGCCCCCCATCCCTGTTTCCCCCTTCCTTCCCACTCCAACACTCCACCACCCCTCCCATTGGCTACCCCACCAATCACCCCTTCTCCTCCATTGCCACCGCCAGAGACAGCCCCGCCCTCCACATCACCCCCCCCATCAACCCCCCTGGGAACTACAGTTACTCTGCTGTTCAGAAGACCTGGCCTGGCAACGAGCAGGGTAATGCGACACGAACAGCCCTCAGACGGCTATATAACAAGGTCATCATGAGGGAGTGACATAATCATAAGTGGAACTGACAAGAGCACACAAAGCAGGCTTGGGACTGTGTACACCACTGTAGGATCAAGGGAGGGGCTAGGGGAACGGGAGGTTGCTTGGCTACATGAACTGAGGCTCCAGGACTGAGAAAAGAAGGGGTCGCCTACCGGGTGAATGGGGAGAAGTAGAATACGACTACTTTGCACCATTCATGGAGGTGAGTGGAAGCTTGGCGTGGGCTCTGTTCTCTCTCCTGACATGTCCTCTTTGTCTTCTCTCTTACCTCTGTTTTCTCCTTTGTCTCTCAGGTTTAACGTGCATCGCAACCCAAGTTCCATCTACGTGGTCGCGGGCTTATCTTCTCTTCTCTTTGCCCAAGGGGTTGGAATGGGAGAAGGGCGGGAGGAGGGGCTGGCCGGGTGGCCAGGCATGACGAAATGCAGGGTTCGCTGGATCAAGCATGGGCGATGGAGGCGAGAAGGAGTGTGGTAGAGGTGAGGACTAAGGGAGACCGAATCGACCCCCTCCATCTGACCACCTTGTTTGTATCACTATCATTGTGGAGGTTCACCTGATTGTAGAGGCTGTTGACCCTGATGTTTCGCAATGAGTTCTCGTCTGCCATTCATTGGTTCAATATAAGAAATGAGGGTTTCCCCTTCTTCATCGCTCTTGTGTTAATTTGCGCCGTTGTAGGGAAACAAGTTTTCTGCGATTGCTGGACGCTGGACCCGATTTCCGGCAGGTGCTGCTCCACATAGGGCTCGGTTGGGACCAGGATCGTGTTTGAGTTTCTTAGCCCTATCACGACACGTGAGTTCCCCTGCTATGACTCCCCCCCCCCCTTCGGTTTTGAATGATCCAACTTCTGCTGGTGTTCCATAGTAGGGCAGGGCTCGATTATTACATGGTGCAGGGTTAATCCTTCCCATCAGGGGAAGCAATCAATGCCCCTTGCACGTTCCGCACTCTTGACGTTTAGGGAAGCTGTCTCCGTGGGAGCAGTGGCCAAGGCTCTTCCAGCCCTGATGGGAAGAGGTGTGAGTTTGTGTCATGTTTCCATCTTTTTTTTTTTTTTTTTTTTTYTTTTGAAAACAACCCGATCGGATGCTAGGTGTGCTGATAAGAGCAGGCACATCTAGCACCWTCGGGGAGGCTCCATCTATTGGTGGGGAGGAGCACCTGCCGGAAATCGGGTCCAGCGTCCCTTGAATACAACTTTGTGGTACAGTGTTTGTTGGGCATATGGCCATTAGAGTTGTTGTTCCTGAGCTTTCTTCTCTCCCCCGGGGCTGCGTATGTTACCCTTCCAATTTACAAAGCTCCTACTTCCCACTGGCCTAGCCCCACCCAGGATGGTGTCCGCCGTGCTTCAATGTCTGCTCTCCTCCTGCCGGTAATGGCTGAACTCCCACCCTTGGTGACTGCAACCCCCCTGGTAAACCTTTTGTAGAGATCCTGTACATTTTATGGAGGAAACGCCTCTTCAGCCTGAAGGCAGGCCGCCACCAGTGATCGTGAAGTAATTAGCGTCTTCCCCGGGCTGGCACTTGGACCTTTATGAAGTATCGGGTCCACTCGGGTCTCGTCATATTGTGGCCGCTGCAACCATTTGTCTCATGTCATTTTGTATCATGAAGCCAGAGTTCCTTCGTAGTTGATCACCTTCCTGCCAGTACACTCCATTCCAGTCAATCTCCTGCGCCTCTATCGCTGATGCTGCTGTGGGGCGGACGAGCTGCGGGGGGCCAGGTGGGAGTTGAGGTGAAAGGGGATGAAGAAGGGTTGGAAGGGAAGGGCGGGGGGAGGGGCAGTTTGGGGGGGGGGGGCAGGAGTAGGGGCAGCGGCTGGGAAGACAGGGGGGGAGCAGGCTGGAGCGGGTTGGACATCGGGCACCAATACGAAGTTAGTCGGGAGGAAGGGGACTGCGAAGTCACTTAGAGTTTTCTTTGCCAGGATGGCTCCGATATCCTCCACGGCTTCCATCGAATGTTGTAGGCGGCATCCAATTCAGAAAACAATTTGGACGGGTCCTGCCAGAGCTGGCAATAGGATTCCCGGATGGCTTGCTTCGCCACGGATTCCTTCTCTTCCCGATAATCCCTGATAAAAGCTTTCCATGCCTCATGGGTTCTCATTCCGATCGCCTCCTCTATAGCTTGTTGTGCTTGCTGTAACCCAAATTGGTGGCTTTTCCGTTGATAGGAGCATTTAGCTCTCCAAGCCAGCACGAGTACTTGCAGCCTCATATAAGAGAAGAGGTTGGTGGCGAAAC